ACATTGGGAGGAGCAGGAAGATGACCCTTTAGTAGATCTATTCCCTGGGACAAGAGCTGGTTTCCCCCTGGAAACAATTCCCTTCTCTGATCGGCTAACCTCTTCCTAGCAAGCTGAGATCAGAGGGGTGCTGTGTTTGTATCAATTGCCGTTTTCCACCCAGCCTGGATGCACTAATCTGACTGTCCACTGGGTAGAGACAGGATCGCATCCTCCTATCAGATGCCCCCCCTTCTGAATCACAGGGAAAACTGCTCAGGACCTGGAAAGAGAGGTCAATGACATGCTGGCTTTGGGGGTGATCCCGCCATCTTCCAGCCCTTGGGCCTCACCTGTGGTGCTGGTCCCCCAAAAGGACGGGTTGATCCAGTTCTGTGTGGACTATCGGAAGCTCAATGCCATCACTGTATCCAATGCCTACCCCATGCCCAGGCCTGACGAGCTCCTAGACAAATTGGGAAGAGCTCGGTACCTTACCACCATGGATCTTACAAAGGGCCAATGGCAAGTGCCACTGGATGCAGATGCCAGGCTGCAATCGGCATTTATCACCCCTCTGGGGCTCTATGAGTTCCTGGCCTTGCCTTTCGGCCTCAAGGGGGCGCCTGCTACCTTCCAGCACCTGGTGGATCAGCTACTGAGGGGGATGGAGAATTTTGCCGTGGCGTATATTGACGACATCTGTGTCTTTAGCCAGACCTGGGAGGACCACGTGTCCCAGGTTAAACCAGTGCTGGACTGACTCCAGGAGGCTGGGCTGACCATAAAAGCTGAGAAGTGCAAGGTGGGGATGGCTGAAGTATCCTACCTCGGCCACCAGGTGGGGAGCAGCTGCCTAAAGCCGGAACCAGCAAAAGTGGAAGTGATCAGAGACTGGCCCGCTCCAAAAAGCAGGTCCAAGCCTTTATTGGGATGGCGGGGTACTATCGAAGATTTGTGCCCCACTTTAGCTCCATAGCCGCCCCATCACTGAGATGTGCAAGAAGGGGAAGACAGACAAGGTGGTCTGGACCAAGGAGTGCCAGTGGGATCTCTGTATGCTGAAGAATGCTCTGGTCAGTGGCCCAGTTCTAGCAAACCCAGACTTTGACAAGCCCTTTATGGTGTTCACCGATGCCTCACACACAGGACTGGGGGCGGTGCTAATCCAGCATGATGAAAAGGGGGAGAGACACACGATCATGTACCTGAGCAAGAGGTTGCTATCCCGGGAGCAAAACTACGCGGACATCGAGAAGGAATGCCTGGCCATGGTATGGGTCCTTAAGAAACTAGAGCCATATCTCTTTGGGCGACACTTCACTGTGTACACTGATCACTTCCCCCGACCTGGCTACACCAGATGAAAGGAGCCAATGCCAAGCTGCTGAGGTGGAGCCTGCTCCTGCAGGATTATGACATGGATGTGGTCCATGTGAAGGGAAGTGCCAACATGATAGCGGCTGCGTTGTCCCAGAGAGGGGACCCTGAACTTCCCAAGGTCACTGGTCAGAATGACCCCACTCAGTTCAGTCTCGAAGGGGGGAGAGATGTGACGCAGTAGGGAGCGGGGCAGATTGACCTGGGAATGTCATTTAGTTTTACTGGGACTGTCTGTGTTGGGGATGGGAGAGCGGGGGATGATTTTACTTGAGGGTTACCTGAACCTGTAACCTGAGCCAGGAGGGGGTGGGGCCAGGTGACACCTTTGCCCGGGAAACTGGACAAAGGGAGGGGAGGAGCTGGGGGAAGGGGCAGAGAAACGGCTAGAGGGGGGTTGCTTTCAGTTTTGGGCTGGGTAGTGAACCGCAGGGGACCCCAAAGCTAGGGTCTAAGCTCCCTGCCCCCCAGAAGGACTTGACTGAGGGGTCCTGGTTGTACCTACAAGCTCTGCTTGGGACTGTCATCTAATAAACCTCCTGTTTTACTGGCTGGCTGAGAGTCACGGTGAATCGCAGGAAGAGGGATGCAGGGCCCTGACTCCCCCACACTTCGTGACATAAGGTAATGTTCTCCTGATTCTGAAGGGAGGACAAAGCCAAAAGGGAAGAAAATGCATGATAAAAGGGGGAGACGTTAGCCATGCTCTTCCTCTCTCTTCCACTACCATCTACAGACCCCACCGGCACCAAGAGGCTGAAGTGCTGATCAAAGGAGAGAGCCTGGCTGAAAGGCAACCAATGAGCCTGTGATGAGAGGCCTCTAAGTTTGTAAGGGCACTGAAAGTGTTAAGATCAGCTTAGAATGTGTTTTGCTTTTATTTAATTTGACCAAATCCTACTTGTTCTGTTTTGACTGATAATCACTTAGAATCTATCTTTGTAGTTAATAAATCTGTTTATTCTAAATGAAACATTGCACTTGGTTTGAAGCGTGTTAGAGATTCCCCTTGGATAACAAGCCTGGTACACATAAATTTCTTTGCTAAATTGACGAACTCATAGAAGTTTGCAGCGTCCAGTGGGCAGAACTGGACACTGCAAGATGGAGGTTCCTAGGGTTGTGTCTGGGACGGGAGATATTGGCTAGTGTCATTCGGTTGCACAATCCAAGGAGCAGCTTCCATGCCAGAGGCTGTGCATGAACAGCCCGGGAGTGGGGGTTCTCACAGCACAGCAGGGTAAGGCTGGATCCTAGAGTCAGGGATTGGAGTGACCTAGCAGATCACCGGTCTAGATAACACCAGGGGAACGTCACAACCCCATCTCCCGAACAGCTCTTCAAGAGCTGCCATGGTCAACCCTAGAAGTGGCTGCATTTTGGTGCTGGGGGAGAGATGCCCTTCTTCAGTATTTGCTCTGGTGCTGCTAAACTGCTGTCAATCCATCCCCCAGAAGTGGCTGCATTTCAGCCCCGGGTGAAGATCCCTTTGGAGGGGCAGCGCTAACTGTGTTAAAGAGTGGTCAGTCCTCACCCCAGAGCTGGCTGCATTTCAGTGGTTTGATTAATGTATCCCAGCTGTGTGTCTGTGTGTGTGTGTGTCCCTCCCTTCTGCCCCCTACTGGAGGGGATGAGATCTGTGTGTGTCGAGGCCAGTCCCCTATCTAACCCCTAATGAAAACCAATTTGATTTAAATTTTGTTTAAAGGATTTTTGAAAACACAGACCCAGAACTCCATGGCGAAGGAACAAGAGTAATAATATCCAGGGGGTCCCATTGTAAGAGAAGGTTTCCCACAACAAAAGGGCGCAATGTGCATTGGAACAGATGTAGGGGTAGGGGCCCCTCTGGACTATTTCAAATAATTCTGCAAACTCTTGTCTTTGACAGATTAAAACCCAAACTCCCTCTTCTAACTCGTATGCTGAAAATAACCCAAGTGTTATGAATTACTGCTCTCCCTGCTCTAACCTACTCCCTTCACAGAGCCTGGCTCCCAGCCCCACCCCCTGCTCTAACCCATTAACCCTAATCTCCTCCCAGAGCTGCAATAGGACCCAGGAGTCCTGGCTGCCAGCCCCCCACTCCCTTACATTCATAGTACACCAGGAAGAAGTTTGTGGCCATTAGCGAGTTTTGCAGGGAAGGGAAGGTTGGGGGGATGGGGCATTGAGTGAGGTGTTCTCAGCGTGGGGTGTGACGGCAATGGGGCGGTGGCAGAGGCTGTGATCACTAGGGGATTTCGCTGTACACCTCATCCTCCGAGATGTACTTTTCTCCTCTCTGCTGGGCCATGGTGCTAGGGGGAGTCAGCGTGGAATAGACGGTATTGATCGCCTAGGACAGAAAAGACAGGGCCTCATGTCAGCGGGGGTGGGGGGTCTGTGCTACAGGAAGCAGGGAGGGAGGCTCAGTAGGGGGCACTCTCTGCTCAGTGCAGATCACAATGCCCCGGTGTGACTCTAGGGGGTGCTCTGCTGTAGGCCGTGGGATGGGGGATTGTAGTAGGGGATCTCTCCCCCTGCAGTCTGTGCTGACCCCAATGCCTCAGTGTGGCACTAGGGGGCACTGTGCTGTGGGGAGCAGTATGGGAGGCTCAGAAGGGGGGTCTCTCCCCTGCTGAACGCTATGCAGTGACAGGTGGAGCTGTGTTGCAAGGAGCAGTTTGGAGGTGCAATAGGGGGCGCTCTCCCCATGAAGTCTTTGCTGACCCCAATGTCCCAGGACGGCGCTGGGGGTCGCTGTACTGCAGGGAGCAGGATGTGGGGCTCAGGGGGGGGGGGCGCGTTCTCCAGATCTTACCGAGGAGTTGCGCTCTACCCTGGCATCTGCATCCTCTTCTCTCCTGCCCCTTTCCTGGGGATTTCGACCCACTACAGACTTGTTGGGCCATGCTGGCTGGTTGTGGGTCACCGGCTGGACCTGCCCATCACACCTCCATTGCTGCAGAGCTAATCACACAACAGATCATCCCCCCTGCCCTGCGGCCTGATCTCCCAGAGGAGTCCAGAGGGCAAATATCTCCTCTGTGCTCTGGTTCCCATCTTTAACTGCTAGGAGGCAACCTCACATTAGAGTTACCCACAAGGAAGGCAGAGTGTGGCAGTCAGAAATTTCCCTTTTAAAGGGTAAGTGCTCCACAGACCCCGCCATAGGCGCCAACTTTCCCCGGCGCCAGTGTGTGCTCACAAACCCCACCCCTGGCCCTGCCCCACACTGCCCCCATTCCAACCCCTTCCCCAAAGTGCCCGCCCCAACTCCGCCCCCTCCCTGCCCCTATTGGACCCCTTCCCCAAATCCCTGCCCCGGTTTTGCCTTTTCCCCAAGCGCACCACATTCCCCCTCCCCCCAATGATGTGAAACAGCTGTTTTGCGGCACAAGCGCTGGGAGCTAGGGGGAAAAAGCAGGCCCACGGCCCACTGAGGGGACGAGGTGGACGCAGAGTGGAGGCGAAGGTGAACTGGGGCAGGGGGCTGCAGGTGGGTGCTAAGCACCCCCCCCAATTTTTCCACTGTGGGTGCTCCAGCCCCAGAGCCCCCATGGAGTCGGCGCCTATGGACCCTGCCCCAGGGTTCCAGACCCCATGTCTCCAACCAGCGGGGTATGTGTCTCTGTCAACTGTGGGGGCACCTGGGAGTGTTACTCACCTGTGCCGGCCCTGAAGGGTATGTTGACATACACGAGCCTGAAAGAGAGAGAACCAAACATTAGTGGTGGCACAGGGTCTGCTGAGCAGGGCTGGGGTTCTGATCCCAGGGAAGGAAGATGTAGGGTCATCGGGGGAATGGCACTGGGGATAGAGTAGGTGGGTGCAGTGGTTGGGTCAAGGTTACTATAGATTTTGTATTTTGCAATCATCCATTCCCATTCATTCATTCATCTTTTTTTCTCATTCATTCTTTGCAAACTTGGTCATTTTCTCCTTCCTTCCTTCCTTTATTCAGTCTCTCTCTCAATCATCTCCTCTTTTTTTTTCATTCATTCTTTTTCATAATCAGTTCTCTGTTCTCTTTGGTTCCCTCTTTCACACACCCCTTCCTTCTCTGTCTCCCAGTCATCTCTTCTACTTCCTTCCTTCATTGATTCATGTGCTCATTTAGTCTCGTTCTTTCATTCTGTCTCCCATTCATCCTCTCTCTCATTCATCTCCTCTCAAACTCACTCATTCATTCCATGTTCTCTCTTTCATTTGTAGGCTTGGGAGCATTACATTTTCCTTGGTCAACATTGGCAAAGGTCAACTTTGCCGCACACACACAAACGGACTTAAAAAAATATTTCCATTGATGATGTTCAAAATTTACAAGTAGGCAAAATAAGAAAAATGCTGCCTGAGAATTGATTCGTTTGCTTTAAGGATTTTTTTTTTGCCTATTTTAACATGGGCCATTGGCAATTTGTTTTAGTGGTTAGAAAGCTCTGATCTTCTTGAATCTCAATGTCTCCTGTCCTTAAACAATTAGAGTCTAAGCCCTGCTCGGAATTTCCTAGAACTGTGAAAATTTGAAGAGGAAAAATTGGGGGGAGGGGAACACTTAAAAATAACCATTGATATTATCCATTTAAATTGCAGAAAAATGAAAAACAAACTATGCAAAGCCTAGTTGTTTTCATTACAGTTCCTACCAGCTTGGCCTCAGGGAGAAGATGCCGCATCCCACTAGGTGGCAGTGTTGCATCACAGATTACGGGACAATAGATTCGAAATTTGGGACCTAGGAAATTTGCCCGGATTATATGGTGGGCTGGGGTGGCTGTTCCTCTTGCCCCTCTCAAACAATGAGGTTCTTATGGGATGGGCCAGTCTGTCGGGGTGGGCGGGCATGGACAGCCCCACCAGGGACAGACAGAGCCAGTCCCTGAGGGGTGGGGCTGTATCGGCCTCTGGAATTGGGGAACTTACTGTGTCTCTGCCACGACACCACCTGTGAAGAGAAGGGGAAACAGAGCCATTAAACAAGAGGGTGATTGGTCCTGTGGACCTTGGGACCTCGGCCGAAAGCGAAGGTCTCAGGATCGCTGTGCTCAGTGCGAGGCATTTGAATGGGAAGCCATTTTAGAGCGACATAGGATATTGTACCCTGAGCCTGTGGGGGAGAAACCCACTGTTTGAAAGGCAGCATCGTAACCCACCGAAGCCAGGGCGCGCGGCAGTCAGAAATCCCCCTCTTAAAGGGGAGGCCCATAGTGCCCCCACACACTGCCCGTCGGTGATGGGATGGGCATCCGAGGCTCTGGCACCAGGCCTGCAGGTGAGGGAGCTGCCCTCAGTGGGGGTGGGGCAGTCATTACTCACACATATTGACCCCGGAGTTGTCGGACGACCTGCGAAGGCAGAAGCGGAGGGTTAGTGGTGGGGCGGGAGGCTGCTGGGAGCCCCTGTCCTCTATGGGGGTGGGGACAGGTGAGCCCATATGACCCCCAATTCCCCATGCTGCTGCAAAGGATTCTGGGTCACCACTTTCTTTTCTCTCCTACTTTCCTAGCTGTTCATCCTCTTTGTCCTTCACTGTCTCCTTCATTCTCTCTCCTTCCTCCCTCCCCCTTTTCCTCCTCTCCTCCTTTTTCTCTCTCATTATTCTTTCATTTTCTTTTCCTAACCCTCCCCCCTGATTTCCCTCCAACCTCCCTCCTGTCCTGTGCACTATTTGACCCCCTTCTTCTCCAGCCTGGTCTCCCTACCCCCTATCTTCCCTGAGATCCACCCCAGTCTCCCCCACCCTCCAAACAATCCCTGCTTCCCTGCAGTATTCCACTCTGAGATCAGCCCCATGGTGCACGTAGCCATTCAATGCCCCACATGTGCCTTAGCCCCCCCTTATCATTCACAGTGTCCCAGCAACAGAAATCCCCCCTCTTATTTTCTATTGGACATGTACCCCCCCATAGATTGACCCCCCGGCCACCTGGATCCACGGACCGGAGCCCCTATCACTTGAGCTCAATGCCCAGCCCCCATCCAGGCTGTGCAACCCGCTATACGCTGGTGTCGCCCCTAGAGGGTGTGAGTGAGCCAGGCTGGGGAGTGACCCTACAGCCAGTCCCCTGGGGGAGGGGGAAGGGAGACCAGACCTTGCCCCCTTACATACCGTCTCATCCGCGACCGGCGCAGCTCCTGGCTCTTCCCGTAGGACCTGGAAGGGAAATGGGGGTGGAGGTGTCAATAGGGGGATAGACCTGGAGGCGGGGGCACCGTTGGGATGAGCTGGACCCAGGGGATGGTGGCTGCTATTCCCAATGTGAACACCAGGGGGCTTTGAGGTGCAGGAGGAGACAGTTGGGGGGAATTGGAGAATTTTGCCCTACCAGGGGGAGGGGGAGGGCACGGTCGGGTTCTATCCCCAGAGGATTGAGGGACCTGTTGGAACAGATTTGCCCTCCTAGGGGCAAACTTCTCCTGGCCCCATGGAGGGGCCTGAGGATGAGGAGGAACTTACGTGGGGAGCCGGCAGCTAGCTGGGAAGGAAGGGGAAGAGATTGAATTAAAATGAGATTCGATGGAGTCTCTCTTCCCTGTCTTGCCCCTGTTGTGGTGACCCCTAAGGGGGAGCACCCTGCCTTCCTGGATGCCTGGGTCCCATCCCACCTCCCAGTTTCTCCACCCCCAGGTCTGGGACCTAAATGGCTCCCCCAGGGGTGAGGCGACTGTGCTGCTTCTTGGATGCCTGGGTCCCATCCCCTGTCCTGCCCCCCACCTGAAGTTGGCTGGGTCTCAGCCCAATTTTGGTATTCCCTCCCTCCCAAAGCCAAATCACTCACCATCCTTTGTATCAGGAGTCTGCTGTGCCAAGTTACCCATAGTCCTTTGCACCAGAGTCCTGTGTACCCAACTACCCATGATCCCTTGCATGGCGGTCCTGCTCTCGCCAGATACCCACAGTTCTTTGCACCTGGCTCTTGATATCCCATGTCACTCCTTGTGGGGGCTGAGAGCGCTGAAGGCGATCCCTATGTGTGAACACTCCTGTCCCTGATGCCTGGGTCCCATTCCCCACAGGCACTGAGAGCTGCGGTGCCCCCTATGGTTGAATGCCTGATGCTGCCGTCCCAGATGCCTGGGTCCCATTCCCCATCCTACGCCTCACGCACCTGCCGTCTTCTTCCTGCAGAGGCAGATGAGGACCAGCAGAGCCAGAGCCGTGGCAGCCCCACCGCACCCAGCCACCAGGGGGACGGGCAGAGACCAGGCTGGTAAAAGGAGGGGATGAGTTAACAGCCAGGAACAAAGGAGGTGGCAGCATCCGGGGACTCACTATCTGCTCCAGACCCCATCCAGGGCAGGGGACAATCTGGGCCCTCCCCTTTAAGGAGGGATTTTTTGGCTGTCAGATGCTCTTGGTACTGCCCATTGTGAAATGCTGCCACCTGGTGTGAGGCTCAGGTACTGCACCCCTGGGGCTGCATGTGGCTCTCTCGCCCCCGCCCCCAACATGTGCTGTGTCTTGGCTCCAGGGTCTCCCCCGGGGTAGCAGGTGTTGGGGTGCTGGGGTTATTGCAGGGTGTGATTACAGGCTCACCTGTCACGGTGACGTTCACAGCCTGGCTCCTGGGGGATGGGATCCACCTGCCGCTCATGTTCGCCTCGTACCCGCAGCTGAATTTCCCGGTGTTGTTGGGACCGGCCCGTGGGATGCTGAGCACAGAGAAGTTCATAGAGCCGGTGCTGGGCTCTGTGGTGCTGATATCAGAGCCTGTGTCCCCACGGACGATCTCAACTCCATTGCTGTAGAAGTGAAACATCCTCTTGCTGGTGTCCCCGGGGGCTGCACAGGTGATGAGCAGGGGGAGCCCTTCGCTCACCACTCCAGATGGGGGATCCACACTCAGCGCTGGCTGTGGAGGGGGATCTGAGGGGAGCAGGACAGGGGAGAGGTCAACAGTGAAAGCACAGTACTGAGTGTGGGGAAGGGGCGTCTATACTGTATAATGGGCACTAGGGGGCGGCAGAGGGTGGGGGTGGGGACGGGGCGGCTATACTGTATAATGGGCACTAGGGGCAGCAGAGGGCGGGGGTGGGGAAGGGGCGGCTATACT